TTGAAAACAAAAAAAATCAAAAACTCATCAATCTGAAAAACCTTTAAAATATATTAGCATAAGTTTTTGACCTGAATTGTATAATCTTTCTATATAATATATACGTTTATTTCACCACGTTGTCTTATTTTTTATGAATTCCTAGTCAGATTATGGTCACATATTTTTTGATCGAACCTCGTGCAGACATGCACAACAGCTCTTAGCCTACACCCTCCTGCTCCGCCACATGCCAACAATAAATAAAATCTCGACCCGAAACATCAAAGAGACCGACGGGAGTGAGTTTACTTCTGTTTACTTATGTACGGTGCTTTTGATAACTTGTATTGCCTATTTCACCACCTTGTCTTATTTTTTATGAATTCCTAAAGTCAGATCATGGTCACATATTTTTTGATCGAACCTCGTGCAGACTTACACAACAGCTCTTAGCCTACACCCTCCTGCTCCGCCACATGCCAACAATAAATAAAATCTCGACCCGAAACATCAAAGAGACCGACGAGAGTGAGTTTACTTCTGTTTACTTATGTACGGTGCTTTTGATAACTTGTATTGCCTATCTGAACGAAAATGAAACAATTTTATTATTGTAAAATCCAAATCTTCTTTTCGAAAGTATACGGACTGGGCCTTCTACCCGCCTAAATGCCAGCATGGGCATTTGGGCGCCTGGCCAAGACCGGTGTTTGGCTTCTCATGCCACTTTTATTTATGTAGCGCCGTGACTTCTAAGGCCCAGCCTTCAGTTGTAAAAGTTTGAGCACCCATTGTAGCGAATACTCTCTTCGAAATTAACTGCTCGTTTATTTTCAATTTGGTACGTCTTATTACTAGACTTGTACTTGACTATTCTAAGAAGTGACTTCACAATAATTGTTATGCACAATTGTTAGTTGTAGAATACAATATAACTATTATTTTTATGCCTAACATCACAACTTGCGATAAACTAATCGTGAATCAAACAGGAAAATCTCAATAGCTGAAGAAGCCGGGTTATACCCAAATTAAATTTGAAGTTATTATGAATACAGCATGTCAAACTGAGTCTTCGAATGATTCATGAAGGTTTGCAGTTTCGAGTAACAAAAAATTATCAAATGTCACTATCCAGGTAGCACCCCAAATATCCACTGGGTATTCATTTGATATCCAAAATTCGTGTGAATATTCTTGGACTAAAAATGGATATCCATAAAAGTGATATCATATCTGATACTCTACTTTATCTCGTTGGGCAACTAGATTTAGTACATCGGCGCTGTTTGAGGGTGGATCACAAATCGATCAAGTTGGCTGGCAGTGAAAGCTACAGTGAAAGACAAAGAACGAATCTCGTTCGGCGGTCGATGTCGAATATTGTCTCTGCAACTGACGGACTTGAGGAGCCTGGTTTATCTTGATATTCATGAATTGAATCTCTTGTCGGTCCCATAGTTGGCGTTTATGTAGGGAGAAATGGTATCACCTTCACTTTACAGGTGCGTTGTTTTTAGAACAGTTCAGTGGTTCAGTCTAACACCACTGATGTGACCTGATGCGTCGAAACTAAAAGCTGCAGTGTGAGACAAAGGACGAATATCGTTCAGCGGTCGATTTTGAAGCTTGTCTTTGCAACTGACTGCCTTCTGAATCGTAAGGTGAGGCGTAAGGTGAGATAAAGTAAGGCGTTTTCTAGGAAATGAACTGTACTGTCTAGTATAATTATTCATTTTCCATGTAAAGCTAATTGAAGAAGGATGTTGCAGTTGTACTGTATGTGAGTAATGTTTGACTTGGATAATTATATCAATTTGACTTTCTTGAACTCCCGAAGGATGTCCATATTTCAATCGATGAATATCCATTGGATATTCATGGATATTCATTGATTGAAATGGAAGTGATTGGTATGGGAGTGTATTTGAACACGTTACGTATTTTCATCAAGTATCAGTAAATTCCATCACATATCATGAATATCTAATAGATGAAAATTGATGTTTAATTGATATCCTTTGGAATCGGGATGGGGGGGCTGATAGCCAGAAAGGTTGCTAACTTCCTTGCCGCCATATAAGTAACATTTCACTTACTATAAACAGGTTACCAGTGAACAATAGAGCCTAGAAGTTTATCTAGATGAACGCTGTTAGCCTGGATGGGAACCAAAACAAATATTAACCAGATTTTTCACGGCATAACAATTCTCTCTCAAGGTAGATGAGATATCTGGCGTCATCGCCACTGTACAGGGTGTAACTAAATAAGTGGAAAACATTTAATAAGGTGATTACTCATCGAAAAAAGGGGAGGATCTTTCATATAAAGAAATTTCATTGGAGCATCCCTTGTTAAGATGCAGTCCCTTGAAGGGGGTACATAAAATTTGTATAACAATTTTTTTCACAAGCACTAAAGAAGTTATAATATTGAAATTGACCTGACATTTTGTACTACCAAACAGACACTCAGTCAGAAATTTATTTGGTCTACTCCATGGTTGTGAGGGGTGGAAAACGCAACACCTAATATTTATTTCCAATGTAATTTTTTGTCTTATTATTTTTTTACCATTTAAAAATTTATTTCCGGTAGCCTGTTTCATTCTAAACAAAAAATGTCTCATGGGTTTTTTGCCCAAAATAAACCAGTTCGCAGCAGAAAATTATTTTACGTACAACTACAGAGATACATTGTCATAAATGCGAAAATATGAAACTAATCTATCTAGTAGGTCGCTATCAGCGATAGTGAGAATTAAATTGGTATGACGCTGTCAGTTTGTGAGTTTTCGAAATTGAATTAATACTAATTGTGTGTTGTTGTTCTGTTCTTAATTTTACTTGAATTGTTTCTTTAATAATTCACTTGTTATTAAAATGGCATACACAAATGAGGAAATGGCTGATATACAATACGTTTACGGTCAGTCGCAGGGGAATGGGTTAGAAGCTTCAAGAAGATGTGCTGAAATGTATCCTCAACGGCAGCAATATTCACATAGAATATTTGTTCGACTTCATCAACGATTACAAGAATATGGTTCATTCGACATGTAGTACAAAACGTCAGGTTAATTTCAATATTGTGACTTTTTTAGTGTTTGTGAAAAAAGTTGTCATATAAATTTTATGTACCCCCTTTGTGGGGCTGTATCTTAACAAGGGATGTTTCAATGAAGTTTCTTTATATGAAAATCCTATCTTTTTTTGATGAGGAATCACCTCCTTAAATGTTTTCAGTGACACCCTGTATATGTCACTGTTTATCATGATTACTTTATGAAGGTGAACTTTGTACATAGTTTGTATTTTTAACCAGTATATATATGCTCATTTCTTGTACAGTGATGTAGGAGAAATTTTGTGCAGAATATTTTTTCATATTGAATTGACACGACCGTGACAGGACATATCAAGGAGAATTTTTCCTCCGTTAAAAAGGCTACATTGGAAAGGCAGGCCTGCAGTGATTTGAGAAAGGGTCGACTACTTCGACAGATACAGAAGAACGTAAGAGAGTTATTGAAGTCTTTTTGTGACTGGAAAAATATTTCATCTGGATCAGAAACTTGATCGAGAATCACTTGCTACTTGCCACAATTATGAAATAATCGATGCAACACTTGCATGACAAACTTCATATATCAAAATGTGAATGAAGGAATACTGACAGATTCATTGTAAAATGATTTTTCACTGTTGAAATGACAAGTATTATTGCTGACACTAACTATCAAACGAATACTTTTGCTACCGAAACCAGAACCGAAGAATAATAACGCCAACAATGAGCGATGAAACTTCTATCGATTACAAAGTTCCCGCCACTTGAAACCAACTTTGATAGTGCCTTTGACTCACTCTCATGACTAGATTTGCTAGAGCTTTGTTTCTGATTGAAGTGTACGTGAGAGAATGACTCAAGTTGGTATTGAATCACCTATGTCTTTAACTGATTAGAAACACAGCTGAAAGCTTCAAATTTTTTGGGAGTCAATAGAAATCAATATGAATATATGATCTACCTTTAGTTCAATATGTAGTCATATTGAACTAAATGTTAGGTTAGGTTAGGTTTGGGAGTCTTTGGTGGAATGATGCCCTCTCTACTCCCGAATCTCAAAATCATACCGGCTTGCCGCACTAAGGCACAAATCTTAGCCGGCAGATGCAGAAGGCTGTCTGTTATTCTTGGTTTACTGCGTTTACTCGGGGCACTAGATTCTCGGACCCAATGATCACTTACCTCACGGTGTGAAGTATGGTCATTGGTTGATAATGCTGGCGCGCCTTCCCTAATGTTTTGAGGCTTTGAGGGAGTATGGGCAGACCAGCGCAAACTTCAGTGAAAAAAAATGTCCATAAGACATAAACATGTATTGGAACAATGGTATAATAAAAGACAAATAAAATTGTGATGAAAGATAAACGAATAGCTTTATTCATAAGAAAAGAAACGAATCAATCAAATGCAAATGTTAGTACTTTCATTAAGAGTATTTACAATGAACAAATTCGTTTCAAATACTACCATCATTTCTGCACTCCTTCTCCCATTCAGTAGAGTCAACAGCAATTGACTTCAAAAGGTTTTTGTATTCGTCGTAAGCACAGTCCAAAGTGCACCCTTCGATCGTTATCTTTTCCAAACTTTCTGTACTATTTCTTTTATAAAATATATTCAGATAATATATTCCAACTGGACTCTTTCTAAGTTCCCAAATTATAGTGGAAGAAAATTCAGGAGGATGATAATCGTAAGCCCCAAAAGTATTCAAAATACCTGCAATGGTTCCGTCATGTCCTGATATCATCAAAAACTTTGTCGATGTTCCTTCGATAGCACCATCGAAGTGAGTGTTCAAATAATTCATAAATGGTCCCACTTTCAACCGCTGCAAATCCTTGGTGAAAGTTTCCCTTGAGAATGATAATCCTGCGAGATAACTGATTTCTCTTTCGTCAATTCGAGATGACCATTCAGGCAAGAAAGAAGGATTCAGAGTTCTGTACACATAGAATGTTGTATAAAGACCTTGAAATGTTGATATATCTGTAACGTTCCAGCCAGTTTTGAGAGAAACAAAGCTGAATAGACTTTCGTGTTCTTCTTTGACTTTCTCGAAATATTCTGAGTTTATAAGTTCTGTATAAAGTGTTTCAAACTTATTGCAATATTTAGACATGGCAACTATTTCATCATCATCTTCAGGTGCAGTATGAATAGGTACAGGATCCCATGGGAGCCCATCCTGCCACATTTCTGATGAAGTAGTTGGATAATATAAACCTGCTAGATTGGTTGCAGCAGACATTAGAGTTCTGTCGACATCGGAGGAGCGAACGAAAATTTCCTGGGCATTGTATTTCTCTGAAATGAAGCCGGAGTAGCGTCTCCTGAGCCATTTTCCTAGATTGAATTGGTTCAACTTTCCTTGCTGAAATCAAATGAATATTCATATTATGTTTTCTATGAATGATCAAGTGAAACGCAATACAATTTTTAGGTATTTCAAATAGAAATCAGTACAGAAAATTCATGAATGGATCAATAAAATGCTTTGTTAGGCCTGATATCGATTCAATATATATTTTTCGCGGGGTATTTTACAAACCTCCCCACCTATATCCCATTGTCTGAAGCTAACGAAACTAGATTTTTGAGTGTATTGGATGTGTATCTTCTGAAAATGAGATTTCATGTTCCATCGAAAAACTGTAATTATTGGTTTGAGAGTACTTTAACCTAAGTTGAAACATTATGAATGATTTGATGTTTGTTTACAATAATAACAATTTACCAAAACTAAATAATTGCATATTCAAATGAAAATAGTTTATTGTTTCTAACAAGAATATCTCAAACTGAAAGAGGCCTGTAAAAAGTCTGCAAAAACTCTTATTGTATCAATGGATCTTACGTTTTTGGGAAAGGAAGGTTTCGGGAATCTTCCAAACTGAACTATTCGTAAAGATATGTGAAACATTCAAAGAAGTAACTTTAGGACACAAACTAAAAAAATGTCCTCTTGAAACAACTACTTTAGTATAAACATTGAGTCACACGAAAGAAAATATACTTTCGAAACAACTACTTTTACATGAACATTAAATTATACAGAAAACACTCTTTTCTATTCATTTACTCCAAACATCGGCACGTGTGTCGATCACCAAAAGATCATCTTCAAGAAGAAGATTAAACTAAATATACATACAATGTTTTCCTTATTTATACCACGGATACCCCTGCTAGGTACCTGTATCTTCATTGTCCCAAATTAATTTTACAATGTTGCCTTATTTAACAGGTGAGTCCGATAAATAAAATATTATTTCAACAAGCTATATAGTATACTATCAGGTATTGGGCTACCATCGTTATTCATAATATTATTATGTTTACTGTTTTCTACACTCTCATAGGCATCTAGTTGCCTGTTGTTGTTAACTTGTCTAACTAATCTTAATGAACTAAACTGTATGGAATGGTTTTGTTGCGACTGATGATTTTTCTGATCTTTCATATTTTAGGTGCACTAAGTGTTTCATATTATTATTCTGATAGATATTTTAGTCCGTCCATGATATTTTGCATCGCAGTCCAGACTTTTCTAAAGTTTCAACTATGTCATTTGGATTTCCTAAAAGGCTCTGTAGTGTATGACTTGTTAAAAATACCACCTTCATACTCAGTTCCTTGAAAATCCTCCCAAAGTTTTTCGTGTATTGGTGGTATAGAACTGAGATATAGGTATTTATCTTGGTTTTTTTCGTTTCTGGAAGTCGAGATTTCGTTCATTCTTAACCTAAAGTTGAAAATATTTTCAAGAAACTAGGTATGACGGTGGTATTTGAAACAAGTCATACACTACAGAGCCTTTTGGGAAATCCAGAAGACAAAGTTGAGAATTCGGAAAAGTCTGGAATATACGAAATTAGAAGTAAAGACTGCGATGCAAAATATTATGGACAGACTGAAAGATCTATCAAAATAAGATATAAGGAACACTTAGTGCACCTGTAATATGTGAGACTAGGAAAATCAGCAGTCCGCAAACATATTTTGCAACATAACCATTCCATAGAGTTTATTTCACTAACAAAAGTTAGACAAGTTAACAACAACAGGTAAGTAGATGCCTATGAGCGTGTAGAAATAAGCAAACATAATAATATTATGAATAACGTTGGTGAACCAATACCTTATAGTATTACTTTATAGCTTGTTTCAAAAATATTTTATTTATCAGATTTACCTGACTAGTAGATAAGGCAACATTGTAAAATTAATCTTAAGACTAGTGAAGAAAAATCTGTTTAAAATCTGTTTTAACGTTAATCAGCTGTTAGTCCCATACGAACGACAACTCTCAGAAGTAGATAGGCAACATAATAAAATTAATTCAAGTCAATGAAGACGCAGGTATTCAGCAGTGGTATCTATGGTATAAATAAGGAAAACATTTTATGTATATTTAGTTTAATCTTCCTTTTGGAAATGAGCACTTGGTGATCGAAACACGTGTCGAGGTGAATAAAATAACGGCTTGATGTTGAGATTAAACTCTAGCAATATTCATTCGTTATGGAATTGAATTAGATGTCATTCAAGGGAAAGTAGAAAGCCGAAACCTTTCTTTCCCAAGAAATATTCTCTCCAGAAAAAATACCCCTTTTAATTTGAATAGTATATTGTTCTTCACCAAATTTCAGTATAATTAGGTTGTTTCAAAAGTTTGCTCCGTTTTAAAATCATGTTTTATTGAAGCTCCATATCTCCATAAATATTTAATTCACTGTATCGTGGTACACACATATCGATTATCGATAGCGAATTTTGTACTCTGTACATTGGTGCGGTTTATTTAAATTGAATCGAAGAGCTGTTGAAACAGCTCCAAAAATTAACTGGGCATTTGACAATGATAGTATTTATAATGATATCATCTGAAAATTATATAAATTGAAACAAATGTTAGGCTATAACATGTGCCATTATTTGCCATGATTTAACAATATAATGATGGAAATAGTCTTATACAAATATTTTACAAATAAATGTCCCACTTTACTAGTTCCCATATCAGTAGGTAGTTTCAACAGTGTTCTTACGTGGTATAAAAAATTTCAGTGATGAAGGAACACTTACTAAGGCCTTGTCTGGGCATGGGTGTACTTTCATCGTGTATGTTTATTGAATAATTATAGGTATAATATCAAAAAAAAGAGTGGAGTAGTGTTATTAGACATTGAATAGTGTATTCGACTCGTAGACATATACACATTTACATATTTTTGCAGCATTTAAGGAACACTTAAGTAATGTATGCGGTTAAAGGAGCATAAGAATGATCGCATTTCATGTATTCGAGGGATCAATTAATCGATGTATTGAAATTCTATCTGTTTCTGCAGTAAAACATTTCACGTCTTTTTTAAAACAAATAGTTGTCGGTGCAAGTCTGGTTTTCAGAGGTAATTAATTGTCAAGCCGGTTTGCAAGATGAATATTTTCTCTGAACGATTGTTTTTGTTAAGTAGGTATGTCGTATTCAGCTGCGCATTGGTTTTAAGTATTATATTAAGATTGTGATCTACCTAGTTCAGTTTTGTTCGTTTTTTGTGTTGTTCGACGTTGGTTTACGAAATTTTTTCCTGGAGATTTTAGCCTTGAAGATGAGCTTCGAAGTGGTAGACCTACAGTGAGAAATCCATGACAAAGAGTGGCGGACCCTGGTGAAGACTGATCTATTACAAACGGTGCGTGGGACGCCGGAAGAACAAAGCGTCAGCCTCCATGCACTTTCTGATAGTTTGAAACGTATTGGAAAGGTCAAAAAGCTCGTTTTCCGATGGCATTTCAGGTTAGCTTCCCAAATTTCTGCTATCGCAGTTGTCGGTTGATTGGTCAAACCACCAACACTGACATAAAAACTTGGCAAGTTGACTTGGGTGTCACACCAATAGG